GATTACTATGATACCCCTAATGAATTAAAAATACAATTAAATATTATTTCCTTTTTAAAAATTTCCAAATAACAATATAAAATAAAAAGGAAACATTTATAAAATTTAAAAAACTATTTAAAAACGAAAATATAAGTATATATAATATGGTTTAATAAAAAAAGGAAAGTTCACAAAATAGTAATAATTAATTTAAATAACATAAAAATACCTTTGAAGTAATAAATACTTTATATCTATATCTTCTTAGATAAAAAAAAACAATATCTGTATATAATGAGATTTCATAAAAAAAAAATTCACACAAAAAAATATAGATATTAGAAAAAGAAATATTTTTTCCTTAAAAAAATAATTTTAAACAATAAAATATATATATATATATTTTCAAAATAATTATTTTGGTATATATCTATCTATTTTGTTAGATGATTACATAAAATAATCAACTAACATAAACTGATATATGTTTAACTGACATTTTTTATAATTAGTATTATTGAAATTATGTTTATAGTATATTTATATGACTATAATATCTTACAATTACAGTAAAAATATAAATTCTATTTTACTTATATAGTATAATTTCTCAAAAACAATCACTTTTTACTGACTATTTTAAGAGATACTAAAAATAAATTTAATGATAAACATCTTTTGATCAAGTAACTACAATTATTTTAAAATATCATAACACTATATAATTTAACGAGGTAGATATATTATATTTTAATAGTTAAAATTATATGTTCTAAGAATAAGGATTCTGATTTACTTAAGTATTTTGATTATGGTTATATTAAGTTTTACAAACATAAAAACAGAAAATAACTACAATTATTTTAAAATACCATAACACTATATAATTTAACGAGGTAGATGTATTATATTTTAATAGTTAAAATTATAATTTTTCTTAATAATCTTTTGATTTTTAATTTTTTGTTTTTATGTTTGTGAAAATTAATATAACCATAGTCAAATACTTAAGCAAATCAGAATCCTTGTTTTTAAAATTATTTAAAATAAATTTCAGTTTACCTTCCAAACAATCTAAAGCATAAATTTATTTAGAATTTATAAAATATTTTAAATATTGTAAATATTGATGTGTGTTCAAAATCTTCTAAAAATTCATTAGTTACTTATGTATGTAATTTAGAATCAGAAACTTTAGTTTTTATTTTATTTTCCTACTAAGCACAAAAAAATCTTAAGTTATATATAATCTTACTAAATATACTTATATTTCTTAGATAACAACCAGCATAAATGCAAATAAGACAATTAATCAAAAATTTAATATTTTAAAATATAAAAGATAATAGTTAAATTCAGAGAAATAGATAGAATCCAATATATCTAAATGATAACTAAATCGACCGTAAAAACAATAAAATAGACTAAATATAACATATCTAAAATTATATATATAATTAAAATAATATAATATTATAATATAAATTAGACATACAAACTATAAATTAATTTAAAAATTAAAGTAAATATCAATTAGTTATTATTGTATATTTATTTTATAAATATACATGCCCGTACATGAGCATGAGAAAATCACCTAATATAATATATGTATCATGTTAAAAATATACAATGTGCTATAATTTTGGATCAAGTTACATTCATTTACTGAATCAGTAGTGTTATATTATTGTTGTTTTATTTTGTTGTCTGTGTGTCTATATTTTAGTAATCTTCGTTTGTTTGATGCTTATATTTAAATATAGGAGTGAATTGTTGTATATTATGTTTTGAAATTCGTTGAGTGCTTTGCGGGTTTAATGTTTCCTTGTTATGATTGTGATGCATGGGCTCATGCTAGTTAGTGCGGACTTGTGTGTTGTTGAATTATTTTATGATTACGGTTGAAAGTTTCATTATTACAGTCCAAGTTTGAGTTTGTGTAACAAAATTTTGTTTGATAACCAAATAGATCTTCGGGCTGGGTCGAATCCTATGGCCAGGTTATCATCTCCAAGAACATCTCTATCTGCTTGTAGCAACAACAATGAATGTTGGGATCTTCAGACTTTCTCCTCCAGGCTCCTGTAAGCAAGTGACGCAGACACTCAAGGCAGAAGAGGTGAAATACAACGATGATATTTGTTTCTCTTTTCTCTGAGTAACGCCAATGTTTGGGGATTTGTATGGCTCTGTTGCCTTGGATGTGTCTTCCAGTGTTTCAAGCTAAGTACCAGCATCTTCAACCTTTGCATCCTCTGATGATTTTGATGAAGATTCTGGCTGAAAAGTTTTATTGACTCCCCACCAGTTTATGTATCATGTCTGATCAATCTTCCTTTCCAGATAAAAGCTGCCAAGAAAGTCACCTTCTGTTCCTCGATCATCACCTGTTCCTGTTGTTCAAGGAGAATAAGTTTTACATCTGCAAAGATGGGGAAAGTGTAATTAAAACCCCAATGAATGTTACTGCAGTATTCAGGTCCAGGCGTCCACTGAAGAGCTTAAACCTCAAATGTTTAAAGCATACGACCATAGTAAACTCACTGGAAAGTTGATAAGTGTCCTAGCCTCCTAGGTCCCCAAGATTTCAAGGCAGCAGCTCTAGCAGCAGCCTCTTCATCATATGCTTCTGCCAAGTGTATAAGTAACCGTCAAATCCAATCTGATACCAAGTATGTTCGGACATACAAAAAAAAAACACGATGAATACCTTCAAAGATTATAGCTTATCTAGACAAAATGATGCGGTGAAATTTTTGTGATAGTTTGAAAACGTTTAAGGAAAACAAAGAAAAAATAGACCTTGTCTTCCCTTCTTGTCCTGTTTTTTGTTCCATGTAATCTTATCTTCCCTCAAAGGTGAGCTTCACTGCCTGTACATACAAAAATTCAAGAAACAGTACACATCAGCATCTCCTACTGCTATGTAAAACAGTATATTCGAGTCTTGTCTCAGTGAGACATGATCGGCAACCAAATAATTTTTACAACAATCAACGATGTCAAATAAATTTCTGAAGAATTTCTTGACTCAGCATCTCTTTGAATCGAACAATCACATCACCAGTCATAAGTTCAATTTCTTTGATGTCACTTTACACAATATGAATTCATAAATAGAATCACTACATCCTCATCCGGATCATAAACAACTATTCAGATAGTAAGACACACAATCATAGTACCTCGTGATTCCAGAGTAAATGAAACTCTTTTTGCCAGCGGTATATAGCGGCGTTTTATCACTCGCCACCACCGTTTCCGACCTTTCTCTTCCTCTTCCTCCCGCCTTTGTCTTTTAGGCCCCTGATCCGACGACTGACATCTACGCCATGATCAGAACCTCTTCCCACTCCAATAAAAAAACCCTATTAAAGGGAAAACAAAAGGCACACTGTGTGAAAACAAACCCTAGTGATTAATCACGAAGCCTTTTGCAAGCTGTTTGAGGTAATTAGAAGAAATGCAAAAGTCGCCGTTGGAGGCAGATGATAAAAATTAGGGTTAGTGTTCAAACTATCGGGCAAAATAGATTTGAAACCCAAACGAAAATACCATAGCTCATAACGAAGAGGATGTACAAGTGGACTTCCTGACGTAATGGCCATAGAAGGAAGGAAACAAAAGTTTATATAATAAGATTAGAGTCAGCCCGTCCTATGAGTGAGATATACTTTATGTATTATGTTTATTATAAAATTTTCTATAGTTTTGTGGTTTGTATTATAGGTTTGCATTGCAAGATTTTATAATGGTGGTTATAGTGTTTTAAATAATTTTAGGGAGGTTGGATTATATGTAAAGAGTTGAGTTGTTATAGTGGTAGTACATACATTTCCACCATGCTTATGGGTGTCTTCAAAAAATAACCAAATGATAAAGCTTCTTAATCTCGCTATGAAATCCTGACAACAACAACAACATCTCTTTCTCTAGGAGACTAAGAATCAGTCTGATCCCAAAATCAACAGTAGCTGAAGCCATCTTCTCTGTAGCTTGCCTCACCGGTTGGATAAAGGTGTACATAGTCTTCTGATTGTATGTTTTTTTTTATAATTTTGAATCCATAATTGGTTAGTTTAATGTGGTTTACTATATTTTGGGCTCTCAAGAATGGATTTGTGGTTCTTATGATTATCATTTATATGAATGGATTGTGCTCTAGATGATTACATTTAATAACGGTTTATGCTATCAAATATGACATCAAAGAGGTGAGTAGAATAATGAAAATGTAACGTAAAATAAGTAGTTGTTATTGAAGTTAACCAAAAGTTTCAGAGGATGTGTATTTTTCTTGGGTTATAAGAGCATGTCCATTGGGATTTCTTAGGCAGAGGTACTTAGAAAAAAGGGGAGAAAAATAAATCAAAAACAAAAAGAAAAGAGAGGAGCGCTACTGAAATTGGTACTTTTGGGTTTGGTAAGTACCCTTACGTGGCGTGCTACTACTGGACCACACCTAAGCGTGTCTCTCTCCTTCGTCGATCTTTTTCCAGAAATCTTTTTGTTTCTCTTCATCCTCCAAAGAGCGATTTCTCCATCTCTCCATCTTCTCCATCAAAGATCTGTCGATGTTCCGCTTCTGTCGAATCTCCGTCCTCCATCTATTCCATCGTATGAAAATCCCTTTCTCTGAGGCAAGATAAGTATGAAAATCTCTTTCTCTGTAAAAATTATTAAAACAGATTTTGGTTTGAAACAGAGTTTGGTTTGGTTGAATTTAACAAGTAATGATGATGAGACTATTGTCTCTTTGGTTGATTCTAACTTGTGATGATGGTTAAGCTTCGTTAGACTGTTCAAAAATGGAGTCTTTTGTATTGAAACAGAGTTTGGTTTGGTTGATTTTAACAAGTGATGATGATATTGTTTTTGTTATCGTATTAGATAGAAACATAGTCCACATCTGTATTGTTGTTGGTTTTAGTTTTCGTTTATTTCTTTACAGAGAATTTTTTTTTAATTTTACTTTCTTTGTTGATTGTGTGATGGTTGAAGATGCGTGTGGAAGAATGGCAACGGATTCATGGTCATCAAAGCTTCTGTCTTTCATTTTAGAGTTGAGAAGAGGTAAACTTAAGGCTGAGCGTGAGCGTGGTATCACCATTGACATTGCTCTCTGGAAGTTTGAGACCACCAAGTACTATTGGAACAGTCATTGATGCTCCTGGACTTCGTGATTTCATCAAGAACATGATTACTGGTACCTCCCAGGCTGATTTTTCTGTCGTGATCGTCGACTCCACCACTGGTGGTTTTGAAGCTGGTATCTTTGAATGTATTTTGTAACTATTCTTTCACTGATTGCTTAATCATTCTCTGACTTCTTTTTTTTTCTTGGTTCTAACGTCATTTGTGCTTTTGGATAGATCTTGGATTTGGTATTGGGAAACAATGACGCTTTGTTTAGACGTGCTCAGTTGAAAGCTCTTGTCTCCATTCACAGCCAAGAGGTATATTATAAAAACTCTGCAGAGATGCTTGAGACTACTTTTGGAGACTAATTTGGCACTATTGTGTTTTAGGCTGGCAAGGGAGGTGAACTTACGCATGATGAGACAACAATTATTAGTGGAGCACTTGATTTGATCGAGAAGGTATCTGTCATATCACACTTTCTTGAATGATTTCCTGAATCACGGATTCATGCAAAAGTGGTATTTGGTTTTGACAGACTGCACAAGAAGCCATGACGCCAATCGAATCAACCTTCTCCTTGGATGTAAATTCAAAATTGGACTGGTGAGTTTGGTTCTCAACTCTCATGTTCCTTTTATTGTTAATTCTGAAAGACTGAGACTCTTGCATGACATTTGTTTCTGCAAACTATCTTTCACTCTATATCCTTTGTGTGTAAAATGACCTCATAGGGAAGCTATGGGTAAGATTCTAGCACGAGGCAATAGCCGAGTTTGTGTCTACTTTGGAAATCCTAAAAACGTTATTGGACTTCTCTCGGTAAGTGTTGCTTACTCTTTACTTGAATGTTTCAATGGTGGATTATCATGTTTTTGCATACTTTAGTAATCAAGATTTCAACTAATTGTTGTTTATAATTTGTATTTGTATTCTTAATATGTTTTATGTCATTTTTTATTAAACTTTTTATGTAAGTTTTTATTCTAAATTATTGTATTTAAAAAAAAAAATTGTTTAAGGACCCCATAAGGGTACTCCCATTGGAGGAGTAAAAGTAATTTCCACTACTCTAGGTCCTTAATTTCACAAATCACATTATTTTTTTTTAATTTAATCATAAGTACCCCATATTTAGGAACCATGGATGGAGATGGTCTAAGAAAGTTTTATAAGAGTATTATTGGAGTGTGATTATTTGTTGTTGCAGAGAATTTCTTACCCATAAGATTTATCATTTTACTTGTTATTGACAAAGTGAAACTAAGACGACTTGTGTGTATTTATCAGACAGTCATTGGCCGAGTTATATATATTCTGTGTTCGTTTATTTTTGTTTTGTTTATAATTTATGCTTTCAACATTCCGATTAAGTTGATTTGTTTATAGGATCATAGTGTTTATAGTTGCATTTCTTATAAAAACACAGTGGAAACCTTTAATGCATGAGGTAAGCAAAGCAAAATTAATTAAACTACAAATATATTAAGTTACATGTTAGGTCATGGATTATTACTCACTCTACGATTCATATGTATTTCCGATATGTTGAACATATTAGTACATTGGAGTTTTGCTCCTCGATATATGTTAATAATTTAGTCAATCATTTTTAATTAATTTCTAAAATTCCAAAAAGTAATGAAACTGTAAAAAATATTATGGAGCATAACTTCTGTTAGAAATTATGAAAACATATTAAAAATAATATTCTGTTTCCTTATGAATATATAAGACTATATGTTTTATTCACTTAAAATAATTAAGTAACTGATTAAATTACTTAAGTAATTAATTTACAGAAGATTCTAACATATTTTACAATGTCCTTGGGTCATATGCTATTAAATTATTTTATCATTTAGTTTAATCTATTAATATTATGAATAGTTTTGTACAATGTTAAACAAATAAATTTTGAAAAAGATAAAATATAAAATAGAGGGACGCTGCTTCGAAGTTTTGTAATATTATTTACTTTTAGTTATTTTAATAAAAAAAATTTCAAATGTAACTATCTAATATATATATATATATATATATATATATATATATATATATATATATATATATATATATATATATATGTCTTTTCTGTTTAACGGTATTTTTCAAATTATGCAATGTTTTTCAACAGAGAATAATTCTTATCTGATCGTCTTAATCGTACTTAAACAATATTAATGAAAATGATGGTTAAATTACCAACTGATTAACCTTTATTAAATATTAGATTTTGATCCGCGCTTTCAAAGCACGGGTAATATACTGTTTAATCCTGAGTATCCGGCTCCTTGAGTAGGGTTTGGATTGGGTCTTGTCGGGTCAAGGTCTTTCGGGTCCTACAAATTGAGACCCATATAGGTACCTATAATTTTCGGATCAGTTTTGGATCAGGTCTTGTCGGGTCCGTTTGTTCGGATATGTTGTCGGGTTGGTTCGGGTATTTAGGACCCGTAAAGGATCTGAAGAACCCAAATTGGATCCAAAAACCCAAAAATACCCGAAAACTCTAAAAACGACAGAATAACCGCAAAAATATCTGATAATTTATCCAAAATCAGGCCCAAAAATTTAAAATGTACTCGGAATTTTATCCCGATAACCGAATTATATTTTTTAAAAATCTAAAATTTTACCTAAAACCTAATATTATACCAGAAAATCTAAATCTGAAACTTTAAAAAATACCCGAATTATAAAAAATACACAAACACCTAACCTAATATATACAATATTTTGTGGGTACTTCGGGTACCCGATCGGGTTTCGAGTAGGACTCGGACCCGAACCGAGACCCACGGATCTAAACAAAAAAATACCCAACATATACTTTAGCATGGACCCGAACCCGGACATGAACCTGTATTTTCGGGTCGGTTCTTGTTCGGGTCTGGATAAAATGTCCAGGCCTAATTTTATTGACGAATTTGTAAACTTACAAATATATAATTTTTTGGTATAGATTTGAAGTCCACTTCGTTGTAAATAAATGTAAAAATTATTAGGTTTTTAGTGGATAATTTTCAATTGGACTTTTAATGAGCGATTTTCATTAAAAATAAAAAGAAATGGGATGTTTTGTAATTTTCTTAAGAAATCAGGGATAGAATCCCAAAAAGGATTCTGCTTTAGAAATATAGATTTTATTTTTCACTCTTTCCGTTTAATTATTTACTAGATCTTGACCCGCTCAACCGTGCGGGTGTTAATTTTACTTTTTATATTTCACAATTATAGTTATTCATATGTTTTAGTTGTTCATAAATTATATTTGTTGATGTAATGTGTTACTGATGGTTAAAAAAAAAAGTGGTATGTTAAATAAGTCATTTGTTATTTTCTATTTTTTTTATAAAACCTACCGTTTTCAATATATTTTTTATAAAGTATACAATTTAATTTGGATTATTTGTGTATATTAATACATATATATATATATATTTATATATATATTGATAAATGTATATTAATACATATATGCTAATAAAAACATTAGTTTTCATAGTTTTGGGTTTGATATATTTTTCATTTATATAGTAATTTATTTAATATCTTTTTTATAACACTTGTAACAATGGTGCTAAAAAGGTCTATCTATTTATGAGTTTTAATTTTTACAACCAATATAATATTATTGATGCAGGTAAGCATAATAGTTTTTTTTTGAATGATATTGCTTAATATGTGGAATATATTTTCTTTGATATTATCATAATTTTTTTACAAAAACTGTTACAATCGCGAAATTATAGGATTCTTATACTAATAAGATATTTTGAACATTTGAAAGAATATTTTGCTTGTTAAATGAATATAACCATTTTTTTATATTTGGTTATTTGAATACACTCAACTTCATCTTCTCCAAATATCGTCTGCATTTTAGTACATTAAAGAAAATCATATAATACAAAGAGAACAGTCACTCAGATAAGGCTTACACAAATTCAACAAAAAAATGAAAGAGAAGTAACTCAAATATGACTCGAGCATGTTTATTATAAATGAAACATTGTTAGTGACATAGGAAGAATGGTTGAACATGGTCATTGAGAATGTATGGTCGTCGTTTGTTAAACTTATGTATACTTTTAGTAACAGGAAATATATGGTCGATGTAATAAATATGGCCTAAATACACAAGTCATTGATTTTATATAATAGTAAAGTGAAGCATCACGATTAAATAAGATGGATTAGTAAGTAGGACTTTAGGTGATATTAATATGAAAATAAATGATAGGAGAATTATATATGATGACTTCCTAGTAATGGTATAAAATGAAATATCACACATGAATAGAAGTTGTGACTTCTATTTTAATATATAAGATAAGATAATATATATGTATTATTCAGTTTTACTAAAATTAAGAAAATGGTAGGGAGCAGTAACTGAAAGCAGATAATGATAGGCGATATATTAATCATCGGCATGAGTTTCCATAATCATGTTGTTACTTTAGACTATCTCTACAACCTCTTGATTCATCTAGAGAGTGATTGTTAAATGTTGTCATATATGCGCCGAGAAATGGGCCTGATTCTCGACTCGAGCCACCTGTTTTTAGCTCCGCTTGAGACTTGCTGGGTAGCTTCCTTACAGATTCCAAGGGATCAGTGTGATGTTGATGATATTTTAAACCAGAATCAGGACTTGAGTGTTGGTCTGTATCTCTGATCGAGCTTTGCCTTTGCAGCCTCTAGAGCCTCGAAGATTATGATGTGGCCGGAATTTTGAGGATGAGCTTTTGCTCTTGCGGCATCCTGCACCCTCGGGCACACTCCTCATAGTATAAATGGCAAGGCTGGTTCGTGTTGTAGTTGTTGTAATAACAGAACTTAGTGTACATGCCCTGGCATCGTGGACACATCAGAGTCTTGGTTTCTTCTTATTCTCTGATACCTTTGGAACTACTCGCTCTGTAGTTAACTGAGAGAGGGTAATAACAAAAATTTTAATTTAAGAACACTTGCAATGAGTCTAAAAAAATGTTTACAATTAACCAAAAAAATATGGTTGCTTAACATGAAGCATAAAGAGAAATAGAGGTTTTGTAGCCTACAATCTAAGATAAGAGAAGAAAGAATACCCAATACACCAACAAACACAAAACCAAACAAAAAAGTGAACAGACTTAGAAATCTAACATTGACTAAGAGGATATGTCATTCCAAAATGAAAGAATACATAGAATTAAACAGTCACTTTGAGAATATAATGATATAATTTGAAGCACCTGGATTATGCCACAGTAGCAAAAGATAATGTACCTTTGTCGAAGGAGAATAAATGGCTATAAGGGAGTTGTCTGGGCATCGTCATTGGAGGTTGTCTTGACGAGGCTGATGTCTGCGAAGAGAAAGTTAGACATCAGCTAGTTTTGTTGCAGAACACTGGTGATGATGAATATATGGAAGATTTCAGACTCACCTGGAAACTGAGTATTTGTCTATGCCAATGACGTCAGGTGTCCGAAGTTTTGGACCTAAAGAGCTCTATGAAAATTACAGTAGGTGGAGTGGTAAATTCAACTAATTTCGTAAGATAGGTGAAGCGAATGGCGATGGTTAAATTAACTTCAGTGCTTGAAGCGAGTTTTACACTATGAACATGTGTTGAATAAGTCTAAGACTCCAAAAAGGTAAATACAAACTACCTGCAAAAGAGACCTCCTCCATTTGAGTAACCATCTTGATTGAAACCAAAAACCAATGTGATAAGAACAAGCAAATCTTTATTCAATATCAAAGGAATTACAAGAGATCCAAGCGTTTAAGCTTGCAAATCCCACAAGTTGTTACTCACAAGCGAGCTAACAAACTTCTCAGATATTTTCTACCCGTAACAAACTAATGGAACTTGTTATATATACCAAGTCCATTTACAATCTGTAACAAACTTAGTCAACTAACTTGGTCAACTCTTCCTTCTCTGCCACGTCACTCTCTTTATTCTCTCCTTCAGACTTCTTCTTCCTTCTGATATAAACTCTACTCGGCANAGCGAGCTAACAAACTTCTCAGATATTTTCTACCCGTAACAAACTAATGGAACTTGTTATATATACCAAGTCCATTTACAATCTGTAACAAACTTAGTCAACTAACTTGGTCAACTCTTCCTTCTCTGCCACGTCACTCTCTTTATTCTCTCCTTCAGACTTCTTCTTCCTTCTGATATAAACTCTACTCGGCATATCAATACCCCCCGTTTCAAGCACCAGCTTGCCCTCAAGTGGAAAAGTAGGGAACTGACGCTTAAACTCTGTCAAACGCAACCAGCTACTCTCATGTTCTGGTAACCCAAACCACCTGACCAACACCTCCAAATACCCTTCATCATCATAACGATGTGTCACAATGTCCTGTGGTGCTACAACTAACTCATCATCCACGGACAATGTAACTGGAAGAGGATTTACCCTGTGATCCTTGCCAATAACCGGTTTCAATTGAGAGATATGAAACACGGGATGGATTTTTGAATCATCCGGCAAGTCTTAAACGGTACGCAACTGAACCAATACGCTCAATAACCTCGAATGGCCCATAGTACCTTGCTGCTAACTTCTGACAGAAACGCCTACTAACAGAGTGCTGGCGATAAGGTCGAAGTTTCAAATAAACCATCATCCCAACAGTCAACTCCAAATCGCGCCTCTTTTTATCAGCATTATTTTTCATAACATCTTGAGCTCGAGTAAGATGTTCTTTCACATCGCTAAGTAAAGCATCACGTTCAACCAACGTACGTTCCAGCTCAAAGTTCTTTGTTTAACCCCTCTCAAACTGAAGAAGAGTTGGAGGGTCTCTACCATACACCAACTTGAAAGGAGAACACTGAGTGGAAGTATGAAACGATGTGTTAAACCACAACTCAGCCCACGGTAAGAAGCGAGCCCATGTCTTAGGGTGTGCCGAAGAGAAACATCTCAAGTAAGTTTCCAAGCAACGGTTAGTTACTTCAGTCTGCCCATCAGAATGAGGGTGAAAGGCAGTACTAAAGCGAAGTTTTGTACCAGACACACGGAAACACTCCTTCCAGAAATTGCTCAAAAAATCTTATCTCTATCTGAGATGATGGATTTGGGAAAACCATGAAGTCTCACCACTTCTTGAACGAACTTCTGAGCCACATCAAATGCTGTAAAAGGATGGCGAAGTCCCAAAAAATGACTATACTTGCTTAAACGATCAACCACCACAAGTATAACATTTACTCCTTGAGACTTAGGCAATCCTTCAATGAAGTCCATGGATATATCTGAAGGTCACGTGTTCGATCCACGCTCACCGCACCAATTTGATAAGAACAAGCAAATCTTTATTCAATATCAAAGGAATTACAAGAGATCCAAGCGTTTAAGCTTGCAAATCCCACAAGTTGTTATTCACAAGCGAGCTAACAAACTTCTCAGATATTTTCTACCCGTAACAAACTAATGGAACTTGTTATATATACCAAGTCCATTTACAATCTGTAACAAACTTAGTCAACTAACTTGGTCAACTCTTCCTTCTCTGCCACGTCACTCTCTTTATTCTCTCCTTCAGACTTCTTCTTCCTTCTGATATAAACTCTACTCGGCANAGCGAGCTAACAAACTTCTCAGATATTTTCTACCCGTAACAAACTAATGGAACTTGTTATATATACCAAGTCCATTTACAATCTGTAACAAACTTAGTCAACTAACTTGGTCAACTCTTCCTTCTCTGCCACGTCACTCTCTTTATTCTCTCCTTCAGACTTCTTCTTCCTTCTGATATAAACTCTACTCGGCATATCACAATGATGTATATATAAGTAAAATTCACAAAACCTTTTGGATATCCTGAAGTTTTTTTTTTTTTTTTAAATGTCGAGGATGACTGATGGTTGGCTCGTCGATATCAAATGATGGGTTCTTGTTTATGGCTGTATCTGTTATTCCCCTTAGTACTATTTGACCCGTAAACAAAAGATGCAAATTAACAACTACTAACAGATACAAACAATACTTTTCAAGTAAAAGTAACATGCTATTCTTGAAAGATGTTCATAGCTTACTTGGAGACTACAGAGAGCAATTTGATGATGTATATGAGAGCGAAACCAATCAAAACTGTGGCCTGTTGGAAGTGCAAAAAGGGCTCTAGAAAGTTAAAGACTTTGAAAAGTTTATGTAGTGCAATTGCATATGGTAGATAACACGTACCCTAACCCAAGCTAAATCCATGGTAGCAACCGGTTTGGTGATCTCATTGTTCTTCAGCATTGCTTGAGCCTTGGTTTTCAACAGAGCGAGCTTATTAATATTGAATTCAAAAAGATAACAGGAATCATAGTCTATACATACATGCTGATGGTAGACTTTGGTGGACTCAGCCAACTTTTTAAAGCCATGCCTTGCGTTTTTGGTATATGGCTCTAAGACGACTTGTACTCTCTCCAAGTGTGGTTTCGCTATGGGCATAATTTGGCTTGTGTATGTGGTTGTATGTGTTCTGAGTACCTACAAAAAAATAAAAATTTGTCCCATAGTATTTTAATTGTAAACAGTCGAATAATTAGAGATGGAAACATATTAAACCTCAAGATAGTAGTGTGACACATCAAAGCCTTGGATGAGATGTGACGTGAAAGCCTGCTTAGACATAGATAACATCTCGATGGACTTCTTTGTTAAATAGTGAACCTTTGGTTCTAAATATGAGTATGAAGTGAATGAAAAGTAAATAAGCTTGCAGTAAGAATAAAATTCACTGAGTTCACAGTGGCCGGCATAAGGGGTCGCCTGAAACACATTAAGAAAGGAAGCAAAATCAACAAATGGTTAATAAATTAATCATTCATAATTAATCAGTAAAGAACACTATGAACATGAGTTTAGTTTAAGAACACTACAGACATGATTTTAAGAACATAATCACTTTAATAAAGATCTGAAGTTTAAGAACAATATGAACATGAGTTTGAGATCATAATCACCAGTGGCGGAACCAGAAATTTTTAGTACTCGGTCAGAATTTTTCTTTTCAAAACATAATTTATAAACCGTCTAAAGATCACTCATAAATTAAAATTTGTTTTTTTTTTGTTAACATCCTTTTTTAAAGATTAAGTGGTAGTCCATTTTGACTTCGAAGATACGTTCTGTACAGCCGGGTCTAATCAACATAGGAAATGCTTGTTACTTGTTTATCACAGTTTCATTTATTTTATTTCCAAATATGGTTTTCCGATAAAACAAATAGGACAATTATTTAGAAATTATTTACCAGTGGCCTTTTGTAATATTATTTTGAAGATCTTCATTCATGTTTCAAAATTATCATCTGTTGATAGATTTTTCTTTTCAAATCCACGATTAAAATTATCTGATAAATTTAAAAGATTAGTCTACTTCTAAATATAAAATTAAATTGTTACATATATTCAGATCATGAACATAAATCCTAATTTTTTTAATCGAATTGAATCAATGAATTAGTAAAATAATATAAGTAAAAACCTAAAATTTATCCAAAAATTGTTTGTGGAACATGAGAGTTTTCAATGTCTTGTGTTCATCGAAAACATAAATACAAATCTTCTCTTTCAAATTCACTTGTGTATGATTTTAAATTTTGTCTAATGTTAATTATTTGGTTTTTTATACAAATATGTAACTAACATTAAAATAAAAACTTTTTATTGATTTTAGGTTAGAATTAATATAAATCTAGTGTTTAACAAATCAAAAATTAAACATGTTCTTTATATATTTAAAAAAAATTCTTTAAGTTTTTTTAAAAATTATTTTGCTAGTTTATATTTTTAGTGGGGTCAAATTTTCATTTTTATTGAGGTCAATATAATTGTTTTGATTAGAAATAAATATTTTTTTAAAAACTAGTGGGGTCGGGTGACCCCACTCCTCCCGTGCTGCCTCCGCCCCTGATAATCACTTACTATGAAGATGAGTTTAAAAATACCTATGAACATGAGTTTAAGAACATTATCACTTTAATAAAGATCTGACGTTGAAGAACATTATAAGTCAGAGTCATCTTAATAAACATCTAAATTCAAAAGCCTGATAATGTTGAGATTACATGTCGGAATGGTTTAGTCTTATTATGAACATGAGTCGACGGTAATAAAAAGTAATAGCAAATCATGTAGTTACTTGTACTAAAAAAGAAGTAAGGGTAATTCCTCCTAGACAATAAAATATGTTGACATGCGGAGGAACATATTTACTAGTTATATCGTCTGCAATCGCTTGAATCTCAAGACGTTCTTCGAACCAATCATAAACTTTATTGAGATAGGTGTTCCTCTCCCTCCAAGAACTATATATGAGAATTTCATCAGGTACAGCTCAAAAAAAAAAAACCCAAATACTGATTGAAACGGATATGGAATATAAAGTTTTAAACTTCTCTCTCATTCAATATTATCTAAAGATATGAATGAGTCAAAATACGAAAGCTCTTCTTTGTGGTTAAATGCCAAAAACTCAAGTCAGCTCATACGTCTTTATGTTGTGTTGTTCGTTACAGGCCTCTTGAATCTTCTAGATTACCTATCGTTATTGTCTTTTTTTTTTAATTTGGTATTTGTATGGAACGGGAATACGGATTTCTTCTTGTTTTCTTTATTATTGATAGGAATTTTCTTGTTAAGACCCTACTTATTAATTGAAACCTCAGATTCATACGAGAACCACAAAAATTCAATGAAACCTTCAAAGTCCAAAGTTCACTGAGTAAGAACCATTGGATCATCACTTATTCAATCAAAAAGAGCTATAATGATTAAAAACATAAAATACAAAGAAGCGTTTGTCCTTTAATCTAAATAAATTTGATTTATGCAAATTGATAAGATAGAACGGAAAGAATTCTGGCTACGAGGTCTAAGTATTAAGTATAAATCATAGTTCGAATACTTTGTGATCTATTTGATCTATTTCATGCTCCAGATACTCGAATGAATATCCGACGAAGTAAAACCATCTTAATAAAGGTGCCAGACCCCTTCTCTGAACACTAAGAACATGACTTTAAGAACATAACCACCTTTGAACCCAGTAAGAGCATATCCACGCTCATCAGCCTCCTAGGTGGAAGAATGTTGGTCTCACATCAAATCAGAAATAAGGATTGATGAGTTAGCTATTTTAGAGAAATGAGTTTTTTTTTCTATTATCTCCAGTTGAGAGGATGATACCTCTTATAGGAGTAGATACACCGCCTTGTAGAAGGATAAGCTGAATTCAATGACAGATCGTGTTTGAAGGGGTTTGATGGAGCTAAGAAGTATGATAAAGGTGATGAATCAATAACTCGTACGCAGTGTCGGTCCTAGAAATAGTTGGGCTAGAAGCCAAAAATTATTTTGTGGCCTGTTAGATACTAAAAAAAAAAAAAATTGTAAAAAGGAAGAACAAAGATTTGAACCCATGACCTTATGAAACCAACTATAACACAATCACCAAGTTGACTAAAGAAACATTTGGCATAAACACGGCCAAATTTTTACTTAATATCTAATGGCCGGCTCTGCTCGTACGTTTCCATTGATTAGAAGAGAAGGTATAATGTCGCGATTGAAGATTCACAAAGTGATTTTTCACGTGAGTTGTATCTTGAAACTCCATTGTTGGTTTCGGATAACAAAGGAAAACATTTGTCAGTTGCGGATATTGAAGAAGAAGGACACCCCTGTTTTCAGTGTTTAGGTGACGAAGATATGTTGCCCAACAAAAAAATAAAAAATAAAAAATAAAGGTGACAAAGATAAAATGATGTCATGTTATTGGGTTCTAAACATAAATAAAAGCTCACAAACTTCTATTACTTAAGCTAAATGAAACGCAACGTTTAGATAGGAAAAAATCAAGGTTTAACCCAATAACTTCCAAATACCCAAAATCCCCCCCGCCTTTCCAATATCTTTCGCTCTCTGTTCTCCGACTGTCGGACGGATTTCACACTTGTGACCGGCATTGAAACACGAGAGTTGACTCACGATGGCTAGGAAACGAAAACGATCGCTCTTGGAGAAAGGTAACAGTCTTTCGCTGCTCAATCCGTAAACTTGCTACCAGTATTTGTATTTGTCTGATGAATAAACCCTAAATTAAGCCCCTCGGCTTGTTTGCTTTCTGTCGCTTCATCTCTTTACTCAGTGATAAACTCACCGACAGAGAAAGAACATGGTACGAGTCCTAACCTCACCAAGTACTGGCTTCAACGCTACGACCTCTTCTCAAAATACGACCAAGGTATCGAGATGGACGAAGAAGGATGGTACTCTGTAACCCCGGAAGAAATCGCAATCAATCAGGCAGAGAGATGCCGTGGGAAAGTGGTGATTGATTGCTTCTCAGGCGTTGGTGGCAACACCATCCAATTCGCTAAAGTGTAAGACTCTCTCTCTAGCTTGTCTGATTTTTTATGATGGTTTTATGTTGTTTTCTAAACCAAAGTTGTCTACTTTTTTTTTTTTTGAATAGGTGTTCTTCTGTGATTGCTATAGACATTGATCCTGTGAAGGTCGAAATGGCTATCAACAATGCAATGGTTTATGGAGTTAATGATCGTGTAGATTATATCGTTGGTGATTTCGTTCACTTAGCTCCATCTCTCAAAGTAATATTCTTTCTCTGCAATTGTTAAAGATTCTTTTGACCCTTTTGTTCTTGTGCTAATTTCTATCTTCTAGGGAGATGTATTGTTTCTTTCACCACCATGGGGAGGACCAATGTATAACAAAGTTAAGAGTTACACACTGGACATGCTCCAACCAAAAGACGGGTAATTAGCATTCATGTCATTTTGTACCTACTCATGTGAGTTTGTGCTCAATGTATACAGTTATATTGTTTTGTTTAGGTACGAATTGTTTCAGATTGCTCAATCCATTACGCCTAACATCATAATGTTTCTACCGCGAAATGTCGATATAGCACAACTGGAAGAACTTGCTTGGCTCTCCTCGCCTCCTCTATCTCTTGAGGTAACGCATTATTAAGAAGCACACTACAAGAGTTAATTTATTGCAAACATTTGTTTCATGATGTTGTGATTTCAGATAGAAGAAAATTGTGTTGGAGGAAAAATCAAAGCCATAACGGCTTATTTTAGTTGCAGTGTGGTTTAGTTGAGAAAATTAGGACTCTTTTTGCATCAAATTTATCTGTCTGCATCAAGCTTTTGAGGAGTTGCTCACTAATTATATATTCCTGCAACCTTGTAATTTTTTAGAGAGTTCTTTTTGTATAATCCTGATATCTATTTCTGAAGACACATAACTCATTCTATCTTTAACATTTTAAGTTGTCCAATGAATGCATTTTCATGAGACTTATCATTTCTCTAATGATGTTTTGAAATTAGAAATCCAGTGTTCTAGAACTTTTATTGGTAAGGAGAAGCATGATATATATCCAACCTTGATGATTGATAGCATATTGTTCATTACAAAAAAAAAAAAAAAACTATACTGAAAATCAAATTTAAAACCCAAATATCTGTTTATACTCTATATTTTATTAGAGTGATATCATGATAAATAATTCAATGTTGTACATTGATGAACAAAAAAAAAAAATGCTCATAGAACATTTTCATAGATAACTAAAACACACTTTAACAAGATCTTTTTTTTGTTAGCAACATAAACAGACTCTAAAAAGGCTCTGCAAACTAAACTGGTAACTCAGCATCCATATGAACAACATAAGTCGACTATTTCCTGACACTACGTGCTAGTTTGTCGACCTTGGTATTGAGCGTTCTTGGGATATGAATGATTTCTGAATGAGTGAAACTCTCGCATAATAGCTTAATGTCCTCCAAATAATTTGTAAAGTTTGGCAATTCCTCGGATGTAGAAACCATCTTCACCACTTGAATACAATCTGTAGCAAACATAACATGGAATTGACGCAAATTCCTCATACTTTCCATAGTCCATATAAGAGCTTCAATCTCAGCATGCAGAGGATAAATACTTTTCCTTATATTTCTTGCTCCCATAAGTTCCTGAAAACCCGAAAGGGTACTAGACCATCCCTGACCTATAAATTTATCCTGCTCCTTCCAAGATCCATCAGAAAAACACCACCGACCAGGAATTTGTGGTAGAATGGCCTCCCCAATCTCTTGTGTAATATGATTGCTGTTTGTCATAGATACCTGGGCTTCCATCCATAAAATGGACTCAATCTCGGCCAGCCACAATGTATCTTTGGTATCCACATCGATATTTCTAAAAACTTTATTATTCCTTGCTTTCCAAATATATCATAATATCCAGACAAACTGGTGATCATCCATTTCTGGCTTGACCCTCCAAAATAAGTAATCCAAATTAGAATATAGAGCGTGAGAGGGTAAAATATTTCTCAGCTCCTGTTGTAAATCTTCTGCTATCTTAAACCCAAATTGGATTGAAGATTTCTGAAAGTTTATCATCTGACTAGACACATCCTCATACTCCTTAAGAATCCTGAGTATAGCTTGACACTCTTCCTTTTGTGCTTTGCAGAAGAAAAGACTATCATCTGCAAAAAGCAGATGTGAGATTGATGGACACGCTCTAGCCACCTTAATCCCTGTCAATTGTTTATTCCTTTCCGCCTTCTTAATGTTAGCAATGAGCGCCTCAGTGCACATGATAAACAAGTAAGGCGATAGAGGGTCCCCTTGACGTAAACCTCGCTGTGGAATAGTATTCCCTCTTGGAGATTCATTTAACAGGACCCTGTATTGCATAGAAGAAACACACTCCATCATAAGTTTGACCCAATGAGGATCAAAGCCCATTTTCCACAGTAAAGCCTGGATAAAGTCCCATTCAACCCGGTCATAAGCCTTACTCATGTCTGTCTTGATAACCATAAACTTATTTTGACACGATTTGTTAGCTCTTAGTCCATGAAACATTTCCTGTGCAATAAGAATATTATCTGAAATTAACCTGCATGGGACAAAAGCCGATTGCGCTTCCGAAATTACCATGGGAAGACAGACCTTTAATCTTTGGCAAAGAACCTTTGAAATAATCTTATACCCAACATTACAAAGGTTAATTGGACGTATTTCCGTCATCCGAGTAGGTCTCTCAGTCTTTGGAATCAAACAAATATTTGTAGCATTTAATCTGGGATCCAACTTGGCCGATACCAGAAAATCATTAACCATTTCCAAAACATCCTTCTTTATAATAGGCCAAGAATGTTGAAAAAACAAAGGAGTCATTCCATCAGGCCCAGGAGCCTTTTCCGGATGCATCATAGAGCTTGTCTCACCTCCTCTTTGGTCGCCATTCTAAGAAGCCTTTGGTTCATCTGCTGAGAGATAGACGATGTGATTTCGTCCAGAAAATCATTAAACTCGGATAGGTTCCCTGTGCCAAATAAATTCGTGAAATAAACCACTGCAACCTTTTCTACGCCTGTGTCATCCATTATCCAGTTACCCTCTTCATCATGAAGTCCCACAATTCTGTTCCTAGTCCTGCGTTGTTTCGTCAAAGCATGAAAGAACTTGGTACTCCGATCTCCAGCTGTATTCCACAGATTCCTACTCTTTTGTTGCCAATAATCCTCCTCTTTCTGATATGCCTCCTGCAATTTACGAGAAACATCCACCATTTCTTCTTGAGATCTACTACTATCCGATTGCACAACCTCAAGCGCCTCGTGCAACTCACTTATTTTGACTTTCCCAAAGGGAGAATTATCCTTTTTCCATTTAGATATTTCCTGGTGGCAATTTATAATCATGTTGACGAAGTATCCTGCCCCAGAACCACTCTGCCTCTCCCATCCTCTAGTAATGGAATAAAAAAAACCCTCCTTACCAATCCACCGTTTATCAAAACGAAACTGCCCTCTTCTCCTAATCATCTTATCTTCCAAAAAGGCCACTACCGGTCTATGATCCGAGCTCACCATCTTCAAATATTCAGTATACGAAAAGGGAAATAAGTTGTGCCACTCCTCGTTTACTAAGGTTTGATCTGACCGACAACGTACTATATCCGTACCTCTCCTACCTTGCCAAGACATTTGATTTCCACGGGCCGGAAACTTCAGAAGGCCCATATTTCTAATCATATCATTAAAAGGCACAAAAGACGCATCACTCCGTAAAGAGCCTCCCTCCTTTTCATGATTACCAGTAATTTCATTCAAATCCCCTATAATAAACCATGGATCCGATCTCGCTAGGCCATACCTTGTTAATCGCTCCCAAACTTGCTCTCGCAACTGCTGAACAGGATGCCCATATACAAAAGTTAAGAACACTTGTTTTCCCATAATAGACGCCTCGATATCTATCATTTTGTTACTTGTGTATAGAACTTTCACTTGAAACTCCTGGTTATAAAAAAGCGCCAAGCCTCCACTCCGACCGACTGGATCTACTGTGACCAGAGAATCAAATCCCAAATGTGCCTGAAAGTCCTGTACAAAATAGAACCCTGTTTTGTTTCCGATAAAAATAAAAAATCCGGTTTATGTTTGTACCAAATCTCCCGAAGGTAACTAATAGTCCATTTACTTCTCATTCCCCGACAATTCCAGCTTAGGACCTTCATATAAAAATCTGTAGTTTGCTCCTTCGAGCTGAACTTGTGGGTTTAAAGAGACCCATCGTACTTAGACCATGTGAAAAAAGACCCTCAGTCGTCATCCACATATCGTGTAAACCCATTAACCAAAACCGTGTCCCTCAAAAATTCCATTTATAATTGACCCATCGCCAAGCACCGAATAAACATGTGTGCTGTACAGATATCTGCAACCAAATTAGCAGATCTCCGAGCAGAAGCAGCAGAACTTCCAAAAGAAATACACATAAATTTTTTGCTTCTACATTCATTCCCTCTCCAACTCGAAAAATACATCATTCTCTTTTAACAAGAATACTAAACAGCTTATGTAATTCCAAAATACGTCAAAAAATTTTCAAATACACCAGATCATACAAAATACCAAATTAAATTCGGAATGATACACCACATAAGCCAAGAACTGTACCCCCTTCGCCCCATCACAGAGAACTACCATAGTCCACCAAATAATAACGACATTAGTCCAAGTTTTACAAACTCTCAAGTTTTACATCCAGAACGAGCAGCCGTGGAGACGCCAAGGGAACCTAGTTCTCCTACAGGAATACCAAATCTGACTAGTATGGAAAAACCAGAGCACCTCTCCGTCCATTGAGCTCATTCTTATTTGGTTTAAAGAGACCATATCGAACAGGTAAGAACCTTCATTTATGTTAACAAAATACCTCCTCGGGGTTGAATATAATTCCTCCCCCTCCAGAGTCATTCCTTCTCCACCAAACACAACCAAACAACCTGTAAACAAACACCTGCAACCGATTACACTCCAGTTCCAGAAACAGGGACACATACACCAAAAAACCAACATATCGTTTTATTCCACAACATGGGCAAACCAGACATGAGCATCACACTCATCTACTATGAATAAAAGTTGTAAATAAAAGCATTTGGAGATATCCACGTTGACATAAATAATCAGTCAATCAGAATATTCTGTTTTGCCACGTCACATGGCTGAATTTCATGTTGGGTTTCAATTTCTTTTTTGATCCGTTAGCTTGATTTTTTGGCCCATTTGACCCAATATTTGAAACATCCCAACAGCCGTGACTCTCGCGATTCAATTCTCTGTTTCTTCTGTTTTTATTCTTCGCCAATTCGATTTCTCAATCGAATCGATTCATCGACATACTTAATTGAAAAGCCTTCATGGCTGCTCAGTTTGCTGCTGAAGCCACCTTGAGAAGAGTCCATTTTTGCTCAAAAAGATGATGACATGCCTCCTATTGAAGCCATTATTGCACCTTTGGAAGCTGAACTTAAGCTAGCCATTATTGCACCTTTGGAAGCTGAACTTAAGCTTGCACGCTCTGAGGTATTTTTTTTAAAGGTGCTGTTTACTTGCATTATCAGAGTATTAATTCGTTTTAGGATATTTTTGCTGCACAGATTGGGAAGCATCAGGAAGATAACAGAGCCTTGGATCGTCTCACTAAATCAAAAGAAGCGGCTTTACTTGATGCTGAGAGATCTATTCAAACTGCCATGGCTAAAGCTGCATTGGTTGATGATCTTCAAAATAAGAATCAAGAGTTGATGAAACAAATAGAGATCTGTCAGGTGCTTTCTACTCATTATCATCCTCTTCCCTGTAACGTTTTGGATGCATCACGGGTTGCTAACAAAGTATCAATGTGATGGGTTCGGAAGACAAGACAAAATGCACAGGTAAAAGGTTGCTTAGGTGGAAAAGCTTACTCAGACTGTATGAGAGCTTGAAGATGTTGTTCTTGCTGGTGGCTCTCCTGCTAATGCCGTGAGGGATTACCAGCGGAAATTCCAAGAGATGAATGTAATTATAAACTGAAAAATATAATGAAATCTTTTCTTTTTTTGGTCAATAAAATTTCCAACTGATATTGGAATGTTTCTTGCTATGCCTTTTAGGAAGAACGAAAAACGCTTGACCGTGAACTTGCGTGTGCAAAGGTTACAGCAAACATAGTTGCGATGGTGGTTGCAAATTAATGGAAAGATGGTAATGATAAAGGGATGCCTGTGAAGCAGTGGCTTGAAGAAAGAAGGTTTCTTCAGGTGTACTGTTGATATGATTGTCTTTCTCCAACTCTTTTTTTTGTTAATGTAGAATCTTAGCAGTGACAAAGGCACAACCTTACAGTCTCAACTCTCTTTCTGCAGGGAGAAATGCAGCAACTCCGTGATAAGCTTGCCATATCAGATCGAGCTGCTAAATCTGAAGCACAACTGAAAGTATACATCTTATCTATGTGTACTCATCTTCTAACATAACTGAAAGTGAAACTTATCTTTGTCCAATTTTCAGGACAAGTTTCAGTTACGGCTTAAAGTGCTTGAAGAGACATTGAGAGGCACCTCAAGCAGCAGTGTAAGGAGCACACCTGAGAGAAGAAGCATGAGTAATGGACGCTCTCGCAGGCAGTCACTCGGTGGAGCAGATAGTTTACAAAAGTTCGGATCAAATGGCTTTTTGCCAAAGAAATCTCCATCTTCCCATATGAAGAATTCATTTATTTTTAATTCCACCTCAGTATTGAAGAGCACTAAAGGAACATCTAGGTCCTTTGATGGAGGCACAAGATCATTGGACAGAGGCAAGGCACTCCTAAACGGACCTGAGAATTATTCATTCAACAAGGCTTGTGACGAAGCCAAAGAGTCAGAGAGTCACCTAATGCATGGAACGAAGATTCATAGGAGAAGCCACCAAGTGAACTCCCTCCACCAACAACTGAAGACAATGTCCCAGGGGTTTTGTACGATTTGCTTCAGAAGGAAGTAGTTGCCTTGAGAAAATCTTCACATGAGAAGGATCAAAGCCTCAAAGACAAGGATGATGCCATAAAGGTAAATCTCTGAATTTGCAATATAACATGTTCCTCTGTTTCTTGGAAGCTAGGAATGCCATGAAAGGTGGAACGCCTATGGGATCGATATATTTCTGGTAGATGAGAAAGTAAATGGGCTCTTCCGAAATAATGTTTCTTAAAATTATTGGAGTTTTGCCTTCAAAGTTATGTTCTTTCTCTTATAGATCGACAAGTCACTGAATCTTTTGTTACTTTCTCTTTTTTTTTTGTAGTAGATAACTCTGTTTATAACGTCATTTTAAAAATAAAATATGCAGTCCACGATGATCCGGAGATCAATTAGCATCCACTGGGTTGAACACTTTCCAACGCCTCCTCAGAGAGGGACATGGGTAGTTATGAACTGAGTTCATTTGATGACAAAGAGAAATCAGTATTCTCAGAGAAGGAGGTAGTCATTGTTATATCCACTCTTTGAGTTGTGTCTCTCAATGTTATGTTCTGGTATTTTTTCCTTTGTTTCTTAACACTCATTCGGCATAAAGTTTTGGATGATTTCTAATGCTTTCTTTACAGCAAAAAAGCATGGCAAGCTCAAGATCGGCTCTTATGAGGGTACTATGTTTGTTGGTTCTTGCTTATATTGGTTCTTTTTTTTTCATGATCAGTTGTGGGTTTCAAATATAGATAAAAATTGCCTAAAGTTTTTGTTTTGCACTTCTGTTGTGCAGTTTACTTAGACGGACTTAGCTGAGGCTATTGGCACTTCCCTCCTTCGGTCAATAGGTGGTCACATGTGTATAACAATTTCGCTAAAGGTGTGTACGCATATCTGACTTTGAAATATTTGGGATCGGTACGTCTGCTAGAAATTACAGACGTTCTCTGAAATAACAAGTATGATCTTTTGCTGAAGAAGTATTAGCAATGGGCGTTCTCGAAAACAATCCCTTCGAGGAGCTGATATAATACCCAAACTGAATCACTTCTTCACCAATGTGAGAACACAGAACATCCAAGGCTCAACACCATTGCCTTTTCAAGTTGAAGGAAGCAAGAGCATGTAAATTTATACATTCCAAAACCAAAACAAAAAGCAGCTAACTTTTTGTTATGTATGTATATCCTATGGAAAACTATTTATAGCAACACATCTATTCTTGGAATTTAATTGTGACATTAACTGATGTGTGCACAAAAATGTTTAAAATGATTACTGGTTTAAGCAGATTATGGAACAAATTTACTGAAAAGTAAAAAGAGAAAAATCTGTAACAAAATTACTGTTATTAGCTTTTCGAAAATTTGTATGGCCCACGAAGAATAACTATAAGTTTATAACTATATCAAGTTATGCAGATATTAAAAAATCGACTCTAAAAGTTCACATCCATTTCAAAACTAATCTCTAAAACAAATTGAACCTTGATAGCCTATTATCATATGCTAGAAATTTTTTTCCTTTTTATATTATTAATTCATATACTACGGTATTTTAACATTTTTTACTTATATATATTTCAATTAATAAGCATACCAACCATAAATAACATGACACACTATTTTTTATTATGAATACAAAAAGTGAAATTCTATATAAATAAAATAAAATAAAGATGGTCGTCTACAAAATAGAAAAACATAGACATGGTCTAATACGATGCTACAACAAATAAAAATATACTGAATATATATTATATAGTAAAAATAGCCAATAAAAACAATATAGTCAATATACATATTATACATCTAAATACAAGAACTTTATATTATTATTTTAAATTACAAGAGAAAAAAAGAGAAAATTATTTTGGGGTAATCACTTTAAATTTCATCAAGTTCAAGCTAACAAAAAAATAATTGAATCTATTGAGTTTTTTTTCACTCTTCAAATTTAGATAAATTTAAAATTTGATAGAAAACGATAACAAAAAAAAAATAATATATGATGAGTTTTTTTAGAAACTATAAAAGAAATGATAAAATATAAAAAAAAACAAAAATTACAAGGAAATGAAATATATTATAAAAATATATATATTATAAACATAAATATATAATTAATAAAAACAAACATAATTTACAAGAACACATATTGGAGAATATTCTAATGTTACTTTTTACGTTTTATCAAAGTAAGACCAATCAATTAAAAAGAGTGAATCTTAGAGTTTTGTCTTTTTAATTGTTGAGCTCAAATCAAGGAAAACTGATAAGATACTAAAAAAATACATAATAATAAATAGAAAACAGAATAAAGTTTAATCTAATCAATAAGATAATAAATATAAAAATATAAAATCATGACATAAAAAAAAATTGAAGTTATTGTATCTAACTTATTTTTTTATCTCAAGCTTAACTTCAATAATATATATATAACTCGAGGAATACCACAATTATAGAAGTGACACATGACAAATACTCTCTCTCACTACTCTGAAAATTAACAGCATTTGCACGAGATCAAACAAAACATAAAGAAAGATGAGGATGGTAACTTAAACACAATGAGTTAATTCACATATACACTATACACTATTAAACACAAGCAGTTAACTTGCATAAACAATCACATCACACTATTAGAATATGACCACATCAAAAGAGATATCAAATATATTCCCTTCATTTCAAATTATACAACAAATCACCAAAAAAAAAGAAAATACAAAATTGAATAAAATGTAATACAAACCGCGCATAGCGCGGTCACACCACTAGTTACACTAAAATGAAACAAAAGCAACAAGGAGAAACACATAGATATTCTCCAAGAGATTATTAACAAAGCATTAAATATAAAATAAACAACCAAAACCCAAACTTCCCAAGGCTGATATTTTAGAAAGAACACTATCATAAAACTCATACTTTATGTGCCTGCTTAGGGTTTGAAGGAACCCTTATCATCGGCCTGCTTAGGGTTTGAAGGACCCTTATCATCGGCCTACTTAACACCCCCTCCCTTCTTGAGAGCCGGCTTAGCTGAGGTGCGCTTGCGGGGAGAAAGAAGTGCCTGAAACTTCTTTGTTGGGATCCCAACAGTTCATGCACTAAATAACTGCTTCCTAGTTCCAATCTTCTTATCCCCTCCATCATTATTCCTATCTATCACCTCTGAGCCTACGAGACTTCCGTCAACATCCCCAAGCTCCCCCTCACCCTCCTTCTCCGCATCTGTAAGATTTTGTAAATCCTCCTCTCTCAAACAACCACCAGCCTCCTGAAACACAAGTGAATCCTCATTCTCCTCCACGCCATCACTGACCAACATCATAGCAGCACCTTCTGTAACACCAGTAGGAAGCTCAGAAGGTACCAAACTCCTTTCTTCCTCCTCTGTGGACTCCTTACTATGATGTGACACCAACCTTCGTTCCTCCACCTCCTGATCATTCATCCCATTCCTGTCTGTCCCCATTAACTCTCCCTCTTCAAACTGATTATCTCTTGAAAATTGAGGCGGAGTCCTAATCCTCTGATCACCCCGCTGAGAGCGCCTCATCTCTTCCTGCTCATACCCTCTTCTCTGTGGACGAGCGTGACTCCAACTCCGAATCCGTGATATCCCATCGTCCTCTCTCAGAGACTTATGATGCGTGTACACCCGCTTACTGCTCCTGTCAGAAACCTGAACCCACTTTGCGTCATATTCCTCATACATCTTACCCTTTCCTTTGCCAACATACCCGAGATGATCCTTAGTCCTCTGGTAGTGATTCTCAAATCCCTTAATCACCACACCTCTGTAACTTCTCGCCTGGCCCTCCCCTCTGGCCTCTCCCGACCCCCTGTTTTCTCTTCTTTTAACCGGCGATTTCACCAATAAATGACACTGGTCTTTAGCGTGACACAAGCTGGAACAGAGATCACAACAACCGAACAGCTTCTCGTCTTTCAGAGAAACATGAGCTTCTTGTTCTTCATAAAACTCGCCCCCATTAAATGATAGAGTAGTCTCGAAACACAACTCTTTACGAGAGTCAATCACCACTCGTATCTTCCCCAGATCCAAATCCACATCAGTAGTCAACCCAATCGCATCACCAATACTCTGGATGCAAACCCTCCACCTTTATCCAAAACGGAATCTCAAAGGGATAGCAGCTTGTCATCCTTGGTTTCCACCGGGCAAGGGAAATCATAAAGTAATCAAAATGGTAAGGTTGCATCGCCAGGACCGACTCCAACTCCGCATCGTCATCGAAATGAAATTGAAATTTCCCAAGACCCAAATCAGTACCAACAAACTTATCCTCCAACTTCCAAAACTTAGGTAACATAACTAACAATGCCTCCACCTTCTGGTCCGCCGGATTCAGACATCGGCCAATTAAAGTTATGGAGTAACTCTTGATTAAGGCCGAGTTATCAAAGTTAGGGACATATATCTTCAACCTCTTCCTGGTCCCCTCACCGTTCTTTGTCCCTTCCACCGTACCCAAGAACTGGCTTTGAGCCATTGACACCGTGTGCAGAAGAAACAGAAAGACCGAAAATCCCGTAAAGAAAGAGAAGAGAAACTGAATGATATGAAACTCGACCCCTCCTCTTCTGTTTTTATAATTGCGTCCAGAATCTCCCTCATTACTCCCATAATCAACCTCATCAACCCCCAATCCTCCATAAGAAATCAAAAGATCCCCATTCTCCCAATCCCAACTTCCCAAAAACCATACGGAAAATATTTGACTGAGTCCAAATTTCCATAAAACCTCCCACGCAAATCGAACCAAATCCCCATTTGCTAGAAGAAAATCTTGAAGAAGCCATCTCCGTATTAAACCTTCCAGATCCCGCCGAATCTCTTGGCTGTGAGATCGAGAATCCCACAAGAAATCCCATTCCAAATCTTCGGAGAGATGAAAAATCCCCCAAGAAAATTGAACCACGATCATGTGAATCTTTCTTACCGAATCCTGATTTCGAATCATCCACACAAACCCAGGAGATCTCGGATCCCACCCAC